CAAGACTTGCATCCTATTCCGTCTCTGATCACACAGTTGCCTCATGCCAGTGTTATCCACCACACCGCTGCAGTCTTGCTGCTGAAAAGCAAAGATCTGGAACGGGCAGAACGCCTGTGCCGACAGGCTATCGGCTACCACTCCAGCAAGAGTTGCAGTCCGAGAGACATGGAACATTTTCTCCTCTGCCTGGAAGATGATCTGGTAGCTCTTATGCTGCTAGCCCAGGTGCATAAACTTAAAGGAGAAGAAATTAAAGAATCAGAAATCTTAGACAGGTAATGTGTATGAAAATGTTATATTGAGACATTGCGTATGATGTGACGGATATGCTAGTGCATAATTCCAGAAGATCAAGTCACGTGTAATCCCTATAGTTTATCACTCACTCTTTGGCGTCAGATGATATTCTCATACAAGTCATAATTATATCGGTGGTGCGATTATATTCTTACTTGTAGGAATTATCACACGAGATTATTACCTTCACCTCAGTCTGATAAATTGTTTCGTGGATCATTTATGAAATACACATCATCTAAGCAAGACACTTATTCACTTGAACCTCCTTCAATTCAAAGAAAGGTGTCATGCCTTGAATTTAAGAAAACCGACGACGACATTGCTCGGTAGAGTTCGGTGACTTTACGAAAGTCTTAAAACTTATTAGTCGTACCTAAGAAATGTATTCCATGTCTTTAGAAATGAACGTGGTTCACAGGTGTCTCAGGCTTATTCATAATTTCAAAAGGAACGAAGCTTCAGCGAAATACCCGACTGTACACGAGGATACTGAAAGTGTTGAAGCTTGCAAAACCAACATTACACAGCTACTAAATGGTTTGGAAGCTAAAGTACATCTTCAGAAGGCACAGAATTATCTACGGAGAGGCTCTTCGTTTCAGAATGATTCTTTCTTTGAATTCAAACAAGCTCTGCTCTGCAATTCAGGTTAGTACTTAAATAACTGTTTTACAATTTGCTGGATGGTTGGCCCATGATACATATGTTTGTTCACACTTCCTGCGGAGAATACATAATATGGAATTAAGACGATGTATAAGGAAATGCTAAGTTAACATTTCTCTATGGTACAATGAATCTAACCCTAGGCCGACAGGCTGGAAAATTGAACTTGGGATGCATTTAATGGGATTCAGTTGTACTTCGTCTTCTGCGGAAAATAAAGCAGTGTTTTGTTGTCCAGTGTTACAATATTCACAAAAATAAATTAACAATTTCTTTGTCTTCAGGTGATAAGGATGTGTTTTTTTCGTACAAACTCTTTCTGGAAGAAAATCATCAGTATCACAAGCAAGACAAATCGCTGCCACCGAATCGCTGTCTCGATCTTCATGTTGAAAACTACGACAGTCTTGCACTAAATCACTTATTGCAGTCAAAAACATCTGAGGACAGTGACGTTGATATGTTTCTAGAGCCATAAGTGCTGTTGCCATTTTGTCACTTAATACAGTTTGTTTTTATGTCACGTGCTATCAACTGTTTTGTAAAAATATATCAATATTAGACTATTAAATCCTATATTTATACAGCTGAAGGGCTACTTGATTTGCAGTAAAATGTACAATTTGTTATACACTTACTGAATCCCTCTGCTACACCCGCCATTTCTCAATCTGTGACCATTTTCTTCAATATTATTATCCTAACAAACTATCTTTCATCAAAGGCCACCCAAGCGTCCCTACCTTACGACCATGAGTATGATAATGTGCTACTGCTTGAGGTGCAGTGACAGAGGAGTATGGAGCAATGGTGGAATGACGATTATTGAAGGAAAACCGAACAGCTTGGAGTAAATCCTGCTCCAATGCCACTTCGTCCACCACAAATTTCACTTGCCGTCATCTGGGACCGACCCCAAGTCTGCTGTGAAAAGCCAGCATCTAGACGCCTGAGCTGTGGCATAACAAAATTCTTAACTTATTCACGTCAATGACCACATTTTCATCTCGGTCACCATTATATCAGAATATTATCATTGATGTGGGAAATATTTTTGACTTTGTAATTGCTGGAAAATTGTATACGCTTCTAAGGATGGGCATATTTTCTGTTTTTACTACCTGTTTCTACCGCTCATTTTCCTTTCCGGCCTAAATCAATGGAACTTGTGGTAATCAAATGAAAAATGTTTGCAGCAGTATATTTTTTTAAAAATAAAATGGCAAATATAAAGGAATCAATAAGCCATTGTAGACAGCCAATAAGGGGTGCAGATGGCATATACAATTAACAAACTTTATCTTATATTGCGTAAAAGGTGAACTGCCAGGTCTTCATCTTCCTGCAACGTAAGCCCCGTATCCAATGGCTCGTCTTCTCGCGGTCTTTTCGTCCAAGCCCTGTCTGATGATTTTTTCCTCTTTAAAGGAAGGAACCTACAGAAGAAACAACCCACTGTTACAAGGATTTTACACAATTATGTACAAAGCGCTAAAATATACATTAAATGTGCATTTATTTGGTTTAAATATTAAAAAATTGAAACTGCCCTACTAAAGAAGATTTATACTCAAAAGATGTATATGTTGGTCTTCTGTGAGATTTTGGGGCTAGGAGGAACAATTATGAAGAGACTTTCTTCTGGGTTGTTGCTCTGTGTAACGTGGTAGAGTGTGACTGACGTTTCACAGGTGCTTACTGCCTTCATCGTCAGCATGAGGGCCCTGATGATGGAGGCAGTAAGCATTTGCCAGTTACTTACTTGTGATTCTGCTCTTCTACAACTTCTCTGCAGCTGTCATCATCATCATCATCATCATCACTGCTTCTTCCTTCATGGGACAGCTCACTCCTATCACAATCTTCAGTGCCCTCGACCCCTGAGGGATAAACTTTATCAAGCTCTGGTAACCACGACAAATCCAAGTGATTATCTTCAGCACTCTCGTCACTGTCAGGTTCTTCCTCAGCTACAGATTCTTCTTGTTTCGTCTGCTTCTTCCGAGCTATCTTTAACTTTAATTTTTCTTCCCTGCAACAAGACATAAATTGTTGACGTGTTGTCTTTAACATGGGGGTACCAATGCTGAGGCTGGCAAAGGACAGGAATGTACGTTGACAGGAAATTACCTGTGTTTAGCTTTGATCTTGTCTCTGAAACGTTGCTTATCATATTTATCTTCTTCTCTCAACACTTGCTTCGCTTCCTCAATGTCAATTCCACCTTTGATCTCCGATTCGTATTCTCTGGCAAGACTCGAAACTTTTTCCTTTGCGTGGTCCAACACAGCCTGAAATCAAAATTCTTTTGTGGCAGAGGATTGATACTAATCATAAAATAACTCCATAGCACAGGGTCCTTAAGAGGTTAACAGTAACTTAAGTTCACTGCAGCCCGCCCCTTGTCCCTGTCATGAAATGAGTCTACACCCTCCCGCTCCAACCTATTTGTGAAAGTAGTATTGTAATAATATTTTCTCATCTAAGTCTAGGTCTTCGAAAACCATTCATTCAATTCTCATCTCTCCCATGCATGCCACATGTCCACCCATCTCGTCCTGATGCCCTTACTCGAACATCCTCGATGTTCTTCCTTTAATCAGAGAGACCAAATTCTATACCAACACAAAACAGAAGATAAAATTAAAAGTTATTTACATTTTAATGTATACACTTGTAGTTAGCAGATAGGAAGACAAAAGATTAACCGCTATTTATCACCATAACAAAAATTCTGAGTAACTATACCTCGCCTTCATCGTCAAATACTGTTTTCTTGTTTGGTACAATTTTCTTCTTGAGAATCTTCTTTGCCAAAGCCACTTTTGTAATAACCTTCTTTTTAGTATTCTGAGAGACATTTTCCTCTGGTGGTACAACTTCTTCTTCCAACTCGTGGTCTCTACGTTTTAGCTTCAGTATGTCTGGTTCACTGTCGCTGTCATCTGCAAGTTCATAACTCCATGTCAAGGATCATGTTAACATATGATGATGAGAAGATCGCGAGTAAAGTTTTTAATAAAATCTTCCCATGACCTTGGTGTTCCAACAGTTCTACGTCAGAGAAAATGTTTCTTGACAACGAAGTTGTCTTACTAAATGCCATCCTAAAAACATTATCCCCTACTTTTGAACTGTTGGAATAATCTGCATGATATTTATCGACAAATACATCATGTTTGCCTGACTGTTCGTTGATGTTCTCAGATCAAAATTAAGCATTCTTCTCTGTCCTGTGACCCACAGTGTCTGGCGCCATTTTAACCAAACAGCCCTAGCAGTGATATGTGAAATGTTTAAATTATAAAGCTACTCATTATGTAATAACCTAAATTTCCCACTTATTTTATCCCTCCAATGTTCAAATATTACCCTGGGCATTTTTATCGTATGTGATTTCCCCAAAGTATTATATACTTTAAAAACATATAAGAATTATTGTTTTTGTATAACAATATTTAATATTTTATATAGTAGAAATACATTCTCACTATTTTCAAACGAGAATGACTGTTCCTTCAATCTCGTATCTTGTTCTCCATCAGTTTCTTCATCTGAGCTTCCACTGCTACCGATCTTGTCACATTCTTGGCGGCCATTTGAGTCAGGCGAAGTGCTTAAATCTGTAATCTTTGCCAAGTTCTCAGCTATTGGCATCTGCTCTCCTTGCTGTTTCTGAAGTCTTTGAAGAAACCTGATTCTTGGTGGAATTGCCAACCCTAAGGATCTGAAAAATGGAAACGTAAAATTAATTCTTACACCTTAAAACACAAAGAAAAGCGAAAAGACAGACGTGATCTCCGACTACGTATTCAGCTTCCGAACTGAGAATTAAGAATATTTAACCAGGAATATCATAGTATATTTCCGCCTAATATCAGAATAGATTATACATTTTAATTCTTACCTGGAATATAAATCAGTGTCAAGTGCCTGTACGTTAAATATCTGTTTATTTTTCATAAGAAATACAGACTTCACGTAAGAGACAAATGCACGCTGAGCTGATTCTTTTAAATTATGATCCCTCGCCAAAAAAGCCTCCATTTTCCTTTGTGGTGACTGTAACTTTAACGGGTTGATTCTGTAAACAATAAAGAACATTAAATGTAATGTACAGCTTCAGGTTTCAAGGACAAGTGACGTCCCTGAAAGCCAAACTTGTACATTGAATTCCAGCTGTGGGAAACGCAAGTTCAAACCATTCTTACTGCTCACTCAGTCTCCTGCTTACTTTATCTTACTGATTGGTATCTTTTTTGCTGTGAGTTCTTCCACCATGGCCTGTTCTTCTGATGGAAGGAGAACAAGCAGGGACTCCCCTCCTTTGTGGTATCTTGCCGTTCTTCCAGCACGGTGGATGTAAGTGTTTGCATCCTCCGGGCAATCTAACTGGACGACCCAGTTCACTTCTGGGAAATCTGGTAAAAATTCACATTCATGAACATCTGACAAGCTGTGTTTTATTTTAAATACTCTTCACATTTCCAAGACACCATGTTCAGAGGTTTAATGAACCTTGTACAAAGACACATTCTTAATCTTAGCAACAGACAGAGGTAAGTGGTCAGATTCACATTTCAGTCACTTTACCCTCGGGGAAAGATCCCCCAGTATCCACTGGATAAGCAGTTGGGTGGATCCCGGAATTGGTCAGGATGTGATGGGAAAGAGAAAAACCTGTTCTGAGCATGCCTATAATTCTCTGCTACTGTCAGGAATTAAACCCAAGCCATCTAGGGTTTACCACTTCCTAATGCATCATGTCACTAATTTTGTTCATCGTTTTTACCCCTTGTTTTAAGTACAGTATCTGCTAGCTAATTTAGTGGATGTCCGGTTAAATATTGGTAAGCAAGTGCTAACAAAACGTTTGTATATGCAATAATAAAATTGTATGATCAATAATTGACCATCAGAACAATCATCGGTGCAAAATCACAAAGAACACATCTAAAAAAATTTAGTGTACTGTAATTAGAAAAGAAACTTTCTAGTTCTGTCTAGCATACACATGAAAAATTTAAAAATAACATACCTAAACCTCTGGCTGCAATGTCGGTAGCAAACAGAACAGCGTTTGATTTCCGACAGAATGATTCATAAATAGCCATGCGTCTCAGTTGATGTAGGGTTCCATAGAGGGCCAGCAATGTTGTGCCAGGTCGCAAGTGGCAAAAGATTTCATAACAGTATTTGACCTTAGAAAACATTAAAAAAATAGAATGAATCTTCAACTAAACGTAATTAGGAGTTTAGAGGAAATACCAACTCTTCTATGAGAGAAAAGTTACCAGCGTGGAAACCTAACCTAACTCTTCTCAAACTATAAACAGTTATAACTGAACATACTGAAGTTAATATCCTCATACACATCTATTAAAAATAAAATAAATCTGTGGCGTAACAGCTTCAGAGAGCCAAAGCCGACTAGCTTGACTGCTGGCCTCACGTTCACATGCCTAAGCAGAGGTGAACGATCATCCAACCAGATATAGGGTGACATGTGGTCAGCACGACGAACCCCCAGCCATTGCTAGCTTTCCTGACCGGATTACGCTACCCATTGTAGCTCTCCAATTTCCTCATGATGATGGGGTGGCACTGGTCCCATATACTGGTCGAACGCTCATGAGAAAATTTCTTTCCCCGAGACTCGAATCAGCGCACATTCCGTACCGCCGGTCCGAAGCATGATGCCTCAGACCGCGCGGCTACGGCGCGGGACCATACACATCTATTGAATGTGCATAATTATACTGTAGTGTTTTTCATCCAAGTGCTTACAGTGATATTCCAGAGGGGTTGAAAGTGGGTTGAAAGCTAAAAGTATGTGAAATCAATTATTCTTTCAGCAATTTGGTTGAAAATTGTTATAGTATTTTTGTTAATTGTAATACATTTAACTACATTTACTGTGGAGTGCACATGTAAATATTACTAAATATTCCTCTATACTCCAGTTTTTAATTAATATGTGGATTAGTTTGCAGGTTGTGAAGTATTTTATAAAACGTTATCTTAAAAAGTATGCCCAAGTAACATCAACATATTGACAACACTGTGCGCCATTTTCAGAGCACTTACTTGCTTGCAACTTGCCATAAATACAAGTATCTTCTGTTTGAGGTGATTTCGAACGAAGGACCACAACATGTTGACTTTCTCGTGAAGGTCACACACAACATAACTCTGCCGCAGAGATTCTGGTGTGCTATGTTTCGCATGTTCATGCACTGACACATACATGGGGTCCTTAAGACTTAGTCTGGCCAAGTCACGTACTGATCTGCGTGGCAAAATTGGAATATATCAAGACAATTAATTTCACTTCAATCTCTCCATATCTCTTTGTCTGGATTGGGATAATTTCCTTAAAAATGGAATGTAACATTCAGTAGTCTGGTTGATACTGACCAATGCTAATTTTCTCATCCATATGACCTTGCCAAGGTCTGGTCAGCGCCGTCAGCCTTGTCAAACTACCATAGTCTTTCCATGTGCAGCTTACTAATAGCTTTAATGATGAAGGTAGCAAGGGCCTCAAAACGTCAGTTAATATCAACAACACTTTTTCTTTTTAAAGTGCCTATCCGTTCCGGATGTTGGCGATCAGCATAGACATTTGAACTTTACTGTCTGCTACTTGAAACAGCCCTCCAGTGGACATCGAGAACCAAGTTTTTAGGTTCTGAAGCCAGGAGATTCATGGCCTGCCAGGCCCCCTCTTTCCAAATACTTTTCCCTGGATTATCAGCTGAAGCAGCCTGTATCTATCAATCTACCACACTACGTGGTGCTATATCCCTGAATACAACCATCTTCTTAAAATATTCTATTCGAGAGTTGCAAACGATAACGGGACCACAAATCTTGAAATTTTATACTGTAATTTTTTTAAAGTAACCAGCTTTTATTTAAAGATTTTTTTACTGAAAAACAAAAATTTGGCAACATGCAAAATAATGTAGTGTGACTTAATAAATCATCAAAACTTCATACATAAAATCTGTAAAGCATGTTGCGAGGGACAAATAAACCAGTAGTATGATTTGTATCAAAACCCACAAGGAATGATTCTTCAAATGCTAATCTATTAAACTTACTTTGTCTGGGTTGCAGAAAAAAGTAATGTCTGTCTTTTTGGAGGTAGATTTTCAATAATATTATTCATTGTGGCTTCAAACCCCAAGTCTAAACATCGATCTGCCTCATCCAGCACCAAGATCTGAGAAGAAAGTGTATTAATAGAAACAGAGACTAGAAATGTACCATGCCAACACACTCTGCCATTTATCATGGAATAAAAGTCAAAACTGATGGCCAATAAAAAAAACATGTCTACACTCACTTGCATGATATGCCAGAACACATAAAGTAAAGTAAAACTGTAACAAGAAAAATGATGCATGCATGCATACAGACTGGGCATACTATTTACTGAAACGCAAAAACAGCCGGCTCACGAAAGAACACAACATTATTCCCTTCTGACATGATATAGATCCTATTATTTTATGCTGTCAGACCAAATCTCTCTGATTATGCGAATCTGGTGATACACCCTTCTCTCATGATAACCTTGATAAATAATTACAAAATGTCAATGGTTTTATGCGAAACTTTTAATAGCTTTACCAGATAGTGAATCGAATGAAGGTGGCTAAAAATGACTGAAAAATGCAGTTGATTACTCATAATAAACAGTATAATGAAATGAAAATAGTAACCAATAAAATATATAATCCTTCTTACTTGCATGTTACCGCAATCAAACAAAGGATTCTCGTCCATATGCTGCAACAATCTGCCAGGGGTACATATAACTATGTTGCACTGATCCATTCTCTTCTTCTCAAAGTGTAAATCTTTACCTCCTGCAGTTAAGAACATAACATCAACAAGTGCTACAACTCTCTTAGAATCTTGGCTTTCTTTAAATGTTGTTCTCAGAATGATCAAATCAAGTAGGATGAGATGTGTTGGGCATGAGGCAGGCAATGGGAGAGATGAGAAATGTATACAAAAATTTTGGTTAAAGAATGTGAATGGAAGACCACTTGGAAGATCAAGGTGTAGATGGGACATCTCATATTTACCTGCATTACTTGAGCACTTTTTTTGCAATGACTTCAGTCACCAAATGACTACATTAAAATAGGAAAATTAATTAAACCTAAAATGAAAGGCACTGTGTGTGTGAGCAACTGAGCAAATAACATGCTTAATATGTTGGGTGAGAAGATTTGAACATTACCTATGATAAGCCCTGCAGACATGTCATGGTATTGCCCCACTTTACGTAGAGTCTCAAAAATCTGGTATGCTAATTCTCTAGTAGGCGTGATAATAAGTGCCCCAACACCATCCAGTCTTGTCCACTGTTTGCAGTACAGAGCTTCAAGTACCTGGTGGATTGAAATTCAAACATAGAAGGCCTAATTAAAAAGTGTGATGTATAATACTGTAATCATATGGACAGGATGGCTATCACCTCCTTCAACACCTGTGGGTTTGTTTCAACGTATCTGCCAGTGCTGGATGCACCTCTAAAACAAAGTTTTTGGAATCATGAACATCTGTTCTGCTGACATTAATTAAGTCATTTCCAACTCATCAAACTGCATGCCTTTGAAGTCTTCTGAAAATTTGGGACCACACACAAGTTACAGACACCAATGATGCTGTTTCTCTTGGGTAATACAGGTATTATATTTAGCTGAGAAGTGTATTACTGTACAGAATGGTGATTTCATGAAGTAAGTAAAGATAATAATGTATGACAATGTCTAACTCACCGGAATAATGAAAGCCAAGGTCTTTCCACTACCAGTTTTGGCAGCACCCAAGATGTCTAAGCCTCGAAGACTAAACCCAATGCTCTCTTTCTGTATTTCAGTGGGCTTTGTATAACCACTTTCCTTCAATCCTTTGAGTGTCTTTTGTGAAAGTGGAAAATCCTTGAAAGAGTTCACTTTTGATGCATCAATCTGCTGGCACAAAGAGGACGGGTTTAAATTATGGTGACTACGTAATTTTTTTTTACATGAGCCTACATCATATCTTTGTGCTCATTTCTCAAAAAAAGAAATGTGTTTATGTTAAAGATTTGAGAACTTGGTAAAGATTTAAAATCATATACCGCTGGTACACAGTCTGAGTTACTAACAGCGTAGTTAAGTAAACCACAAATAAATAAAAACAAGTATTATAGGTTAAGTCCGACATCATCAATCTTACACAATCATATGCCTGCTTCAAACTTTGTATGGAAGCCACTTCACTCTTCAGTTTGTCATTTTTCCTTCTATTCCACGTAATTTTCTTTTTCTGCCTCCTCTTGCTTTCATTTTGCTTATCTTCATTTTCACGCTGTCCTCCCATTTCTTTTGCAATTCCTTTTCCGTTCACGTGCACAGATTACTACTCGTTTGTATCACCTACAGCCGCATAATTCACCACTCATATTAGTACACTTAGATCAGTGAGAATGTTGTTCTATCTAATAATGCCAGCAGCATGTACCGGTTCAAATCCTTCTCGAGAACTCCCTAACAATTTTAAGAATTCTGGGGCAACATTTGCCCTTTCTGATCGTCTCAAGGGATTGAGGTTATGAATGGGGTAAATTTATTGAAACCACGTAGCATTTTGTTGTCTCCTAACTTACTATCAGAACAGGCACATTTTTTAATTTCTTAACAAATTCTTTGCCTTGCTGCTTTCACTAATTATTGATTATTATTACGACGTTATCTAAATTATAGTTTGTACGACCACCGATAGATGGCCGTACGAACGTACGGAATCGAATTATTCGATAATTTTCATTCGATTGTGCCGATCACGATTGGTGTAAACTTTGCTTTGTGGGGCGTAAGGTGTTACTTTGGTGTTTGAAACACAGCACTAGATTTAAATGTACTTCCCTAAACCAGAAATGGATTTCAATATGAAAAAGTTTGTTCGTGATGCTGGAACAGCTCTGAGTCGTGTTGTACAGGTCTGTTGCTGTATTGAGTCATAACATATACATAGAGGCCAGTCGGAGGAAAGGTTTCGTTGACCTTTGGTTATTTATTTTAAAGTAGGATTAAGATAATTACTGCAAAGCAATGTATTTAGTGCACGAAACACCTGTGCTAGTTCTTGATAAGTGCAGAGCTTCCCACACAATCGAATTTATTTACATTCCATAGATCCTTCATAGGCCTAAACTAAGGATGTAGTCAAATTTCTCTCATCTTATACAGTTCCCATAATAAATGGCCTATCATTCCATGACGCCTGCTTTCTTATAATCGATACCACTGTCTTTAATAAAGTTATGAAAGATTGCTTTCTTCTGGGCTGTTGGCCATGTAGTCTGGTAGATGTCCACAAAGTTACAGATCTTCATGTCAGAGTGACTGACTGTGATTTATTTTATGTTTAGTTAACTGAAGAGAAACTGGGAACTTCAGAAAAGACGGAGCTAGATGCTCATTTTGAGAACCTTGCGGAGCGCTCTGACACAACCAAAATATGGACAGAGAAAATCCTGAGGGACACAGAAGCAGTTCTCACACCAAACCCTGGTTTGCACTATTTGGTAATTTGTGTGTGTGTGAGAAAGAGAGAGAAATGTTTGGGACAAAATATTGGCAACCTATTATATCAGGACAAAAAAAAAATGTCATCCAGGAAACTGAGTGCTCTGACAAACATGTTACGTGATTTCCTTTCTGTAAATTCCTACATTTTCTGTAACCACTATCCCTCAACTGTAATTGCATCTTCCCTCCGGTGTGAGTCTGGCTGTAAGAATGTAAAGTGTCTGAATTTTCAACGACACGTACAAGAAATGATGTTAAATCAGTGACATGAGAGGCCCAAGAAACAGGTATATGATCTTGAAACAATATAGATTGAATTCTTGTTCTTTGTATAGGGAACAGAGTTGAGGACTTCCTGTATGAAAAGATTGAGAAGAAGCGTCCAAACCGCCTTAGCAATCTTGAGTACCTGGGATTGGACATGATCGAGGCTGGCAATGAATTTGGACCGGGCACAGCATATGGTATGTTTTTAATCTTAAATGTACAGTGCAAGGTACCATAAATTCCCAAACTAGGTCTTAACACCTTCAAATTATTAATTAATCATATTATAAATATGCTTAATTCCGTAGAATTTACAGTTTATCAATCATCCGATGCTATATATCGTGAGCCGCTGACCGCATTATTAAGCAAATGAATGTGTGTTCTCTCAGGCAGTGCACTTATCAAGGTTGGTCAGTGTGAACAGAGGCTGGGCCAGACAGAGCGTGATTTCATCGGTTCAGCCAGTCACTGTTATGTCCAGCCACTCAGGAAGTTTCTAGAAGGAGAGATGAAGACGATTCTAAAGGAACGAGGTCTCTTGGAGATCAGACGGTACTGTCGCTACAAGAAACATTTATTGTGAAGTCCTTTTTGGTTCAAGATAGATTTATCACCATTGACTCAATCTGTTATGTGATTTTTTGCTACATTTCAAATAGTTCTGGCATTTGAGTGAGCGCTGGCCATCCACGTACTTTTCTTCACTGAGCGTGAAAGATTTAAAAATGCTATGACTGCTTATGTGTATGTGCATTTGAGCCTCGTGTTGTGTTTGTCGCTTATTTCAGATTGGATCTGGATGCATGCAAGAACCGGTTGCGTAAGGCACGAAGCATGCAGGGGCAACAGAGTGTAAGTACGTTGATACTCGAGTTTTTGATATAGATCCGTGCCTGTAGGACGGTCGTACTTCGTTTTGTATAGCGTCCCTGCTTGGGAGGCCCGAGGTTGATATTTTGTTCCATTTTTAAGTAAAAGATGGGATAGTACGTTGAATTAGGTTACAAGGCTGTGTGTGCTAGTTTTCACAGGCTGTCTCTGTGAGCGTGATTTTTTCCTTCAACTGATGTTGGTTTCTTTGTTTCTACAGGTTCTTTTTAATTTTGTGTATATTATTTGTTTACCTCGCAACATTTCGAAATACGCGAAAGAAATGGAAAGGCGGATTGTCTGCAGGAATTATAGAATTTGTTTTTAATACTGGGAGGCTAGAAAATACAGTTCTGTTTGCTGAACGAGCACTTCATTTCCATTTCAGTTCTGTGTCTGTCTCTGTGTTTTTCCACTTTTCTTTTCTCGCTGTCTCTACTTTCTTTTGAATGCGAGGGATTTCACGACGTTCCCGACTGCTAATATAGGCAGATAATTGAATTTATAGATTCTTCAATATTCTGGTTATTGTCTTCAATTCTGAATTCATCAGAATTTGAATCAGGATACCTGTAATTACTTTTCAATGAATGGAAGATTATTTCCATTTGATGAACTACTTTTTGTAAATTGTTGAGATAATATATGTACTCAGATGGTAATGACATCTGTGACTAAATATAGAACTGATAGGCGCTGTTGTTCTCTTGCTGCTCGCTTGCCAGAAGGACGGAGTGAGTCCAGAGGTTCTGCTTGAACAGGTAAACCTCGTCTGCTCTGACATGCATGTCCTCTTGTAGGCATTAAAACATATTTTGGTTTGAGTAGATTTTTTACAAGTACATACTGAGGTCATGTTCATTATTCCATCAGCATTTCAAAAGCAACTGAAGGGTCTTCAGTAAAAGTTGTCTGATTAATGTAATTCTTGTTTGCGTCTGCCCATTATAACCTCTGTTTCGCACTAGGCAGAGAAGGAGCTACGAGTGGCCCAATCGGAGTTTGACCGTCAGGCAGAAATCACAAAGTTGTTGCTAGAGGGCATCAGCAGTTCACACGCCAACCATCTACACTGCCTGCACGAGTTTGTAGAAACTCAGGTGGGCTACTACGCGCAGTGCCACAGTGCGATGCAGGACTTGCAGCGTGATATGGCCAGGTCAGTTGACCGTATCCCGCGCCTAAAATTATTTTACGCGATCTTGTTTTAATTCCGTTACTTCCGAGCAAAGCGCCTGTTAATTCTTAGCTGTTATTGGTCATGTAACGTGGAGTATGTAGTCCAGCTTATGAAGAGAAGAGGTGACTTTTAAAACTTTTTTAATTGCTGTTTTATCAGCGTTGTGCTTGTTACCAAATGGATAGGAGCCTGCTCTGTTCGACCGATCAGATTTTTATATCCCACTATTCACCACTAAGATGGCAAATGCAGTATTTGCCAAAATGGAAAAATTTCAACTTTTCATACAGCTCATCCCTGAAAGCTGAAGTTACGGCACAGTAGATCGGTAATGGGACCTGTAAAGACAGACGTAGGCAGCATCAACGTGACGCAAATGATTTATATGATTTTTGGTCTCCTGTACATCTGCTCGGATTGATTGTGGTCGAATCTGTTACTGGCATTCTGTTAATTTCGTACTAACAGTTTGTCCGTAGTCATGTCCGGTGCTGCCGCTTACCAAACTCTAGGCCTGCAGTCACCTGATTCCGCTGATGTTACCAAAAATGGACACCGGAGAGCTCGGGCGCTTTACGACTACGACGCCAAGGACGCCACCGAACTCAGCCTCATGGCAGATGAGGTAACACAGCTTCAGCACACTCCTGTATCATTTTTGGGAGGTCCTGAGTTCAGTTCTTGACCTGGAGACTGGCTGTCGTGTCTGTCCTCTTGTTTTTAATTCTACAACAAAAGATGTTAAAGAAGTTAAATAGGAATGTAATCACATATTTAGATTTTCATTTGCAGGTAATCATTGTCCATGAGATAGCTGATTCAGAAGGGGCAGAAGACTATCTTATTGGTGAACGCGGCAACCAAA